CATTTTCATTTGAATTGAGATTGAGACAAGTGATTTAAAAGTGAGTCAGGGTGGTGAGGCAGCTGAGAATTAGACGGTCTACCTGCCATTTACATTAGAATTGAGATTGAGACAAGTGATTTAGAAGTGAGTCAGGGTGGTGAAGCTGCTGAGAACTTGACGGTCTGCATGACATTTTCATTTGAATTGAGATTGAGACAAGTGATTTAAAAGTGAGTCAGGGTGGTGAGGCAGCTGAGAATTAGACGGTCTACCTGCCATTTACATTAGAATTGAGATTGAGACAAGTGATTTAGAAGTGAGTCAGGGTGGTGAAGCTGCTGAGAACTTGACGGTCTGCATGACATTTTCATTTGAATTGAGATTGAGACAAGTGATTTAAAAGTGAGTCAGGTGGTGAGGCAGCTGAGAAGTAGATGGTCTACCTGTCATTTTCATTAGAATTGAGATTGAGACAAGTGAAGTGATTTAAAAGTGAATCAGGATGGTAAAGCTGCTGGAAACTTGACGGTCTGCCTGCCATTTTCATTAGAATTGAGACAAGTGATTTAGAAGTGAGTCAGGGTGGTGAAGCAGCTGAGGACTTGACGGTGTGCCTGTCATTTTCTACGCTTCCCAATTAATTAATAATGTAACCCGACATTCTGGTTGACAGCGTAATAAAATAAGTAAAAAATTATCTTTTTATCTTTTCGTTCTATCGAAATTGTGTGCAGAGGGTCAGTCGTGTTTATACTCGTGGTTATTAGTTGTTAACCTCAGCAAATATGTAGGTGACGATATTGAAAACATAATCGATGAAGATGCTTCTTATAACATCAACGTTATGTGTACTGTTACAGCAACATTTTTTCATTTGACCCAGATTCTTTAACACCAGCAAATTTCTTCTTACACCTCCAAGTTCTTGTTGCTTTCTGCTGGCGAATTTGGGCCAACGTTTTCATCGCGTGACGCAATTAGATGTTCTTCTTTTGTTAACAGTTGATTACTTTTTTCGTTGACGATTTACGGAATTCACTAAGAATTCTTCTATTTTGCAAGAAAATAAATGGAAATGGTTCAAAACTTCACGTACAATTTTTTGATTTTAGATCAATTTTAAATTGGAAATCGTATTATATAAATATACTATTTAATTTGGTATTGGGAGTTCTGTAGTGAATTATAGGAACTAGAAACCCTTGCAGTTTCAATTTGTTAGTTTTTAGATATGTCATGGCTCTCAACTCATTCGCGTTTATACTTATGATTTTGTAGTGAGGCTTAGCTGTTCTTTCGAAATAGCCTTCTAGGATACTTGAGTTTGATCTTTGTTTTTATAAAGAGATGGCTGCAAGTACAAATTTACCTATAGCACGATATATTTTTTAAAAAAATAATGTAGTTTTTTTATGGTTGCATGTAACGCAATATATCTCTATGTCCTTTTTTGTACTTTTCAGAAAAAACCAGGCTACTATGATACCGACAATTTTGTCAATAATTTCATAAAAGTATCGACGTTGATTCTATTTTCGATTTTTTTACTACACAGATATTACAACTTTGCAAACAATCGCAGGAATCGTAAAAATACAGTCGCACTAAAATTCGATAAACGAACATAAAAAATATAAATATGGAACAATATCAGTATTGCTGATCTACGCATTAAAAAATAAAGTTATTTAACACCTCATTCTTCTTATTCATATTGTTAGAAATCCCAAAAATAAAAATCTACAATGTTTAGTGAATATGTAAATAGTAATTGTTCACCTAGTAAAAATGCAGGACATATTTTACCAAGTGAATATTACTTCCACGCAATTTTGTTAACAATTTAATTAAGCTAAGTTAGGTTAGGTTGGGTACTGATAATAACCTTTTCAATTAAACTATGCAATGAAAACTGGGCTAAAAACCATATTAGTAAAGGATTTGGTTTTTAAAGGTCTACCTAATAAATCTATTCAAAATCATATCAAAAATAATGTGAATATTTCGTTAAACGTAATATAAATACATAAATAACTAAATACTACCGCGACGTAGTGAACCTATCTGTAGAAATTTAATACTCATACTCTCTACAGATGGCGCTAACTGCGGCGTCTGCAGTTACTTATTGAACGATAATTGGTGGCAGAGTACGCCATGTCTTTAGGGCGTGGTGTTGATAACCACAGAATTCGAAATCGCGATTTACGTCTGACAATTTTGACAGACCATTCACAGCGAACTTTTAATGTACAATATAAATAAGGACAACTATTATAAGAGATAATTTTAAACAAGTGATCAATGTTCTAATTGTTTGCTTACCTCCTCGTTGACACACTGGGCTTTTAGTGGAAAAAGGGGTCGTTGAGCTGCCGGCCTATTGGCCAAATAAAGGGCTGAAGCTGCTGCAACGCCAGTAAGCGCCAGGGCTCCAGCACCGCCACCTATATAGTGGAAGTATTGGTCCATTTCGTCAACTGAAAGAAAATTTAGAAGTTAATAGCATTCGACGAAAATACATTAAAGGTAAAAACTTAAAATTCTAATAAAATTTTCCTTTCCTTTACCTATCAAATAATTCGAAGTGGTCTGTATTCTGTCGAAACTGCCAGACGTGGATCGCGATTTCGATCTTCTTGGATCTCATCTGCGCGTCGCAGACAGCTCCGACAGAACACAGACCAACTTTTACCTGCTGTCTTAACAGTGCGTTTCAGAAAATACTACAAACGGCACAGTGAACGCCATCTGTAGCTCCTTTACCTAGTTACTGAAAAGCTAATATTTTTTAACATGATACCTCTACTAGCTTTGATTTCAGGGACGAAAGCGCAACATTCTCTCGGGTAAGATATTGCATTGACTTATTTGGTTTGGGTAGCAATTTCCACGTGGATGGGGTTAAAATACTTCCCTAATAAACAGTAAATGCGATTTCATGCCTGGGGCGTATGTTACACTTTATCGTCCATGAAATTGAATACATGTAGTGCGAAAATTCCAGGGTGACAAGGAAATCACCATAAATAACATAAAACCTTTCCCTATTACGCTACCTATAGTTAAGTATTTTCGCATAATTTCTTTATGGGACTGAAGATATAGTCCCATATAATGCTCAGCGTTCTAGCATGTAATAGATTCATGAAATGGCAGGGGTTGGTAGAAAATATTTTCTAGTTTGAAAATTATTTGTCAAAAGATTCTTCTTTCTACCTGAAGTCTTCCTTCATATTCTCGTTTAAAACTACCAACCAGAATACCCAAACACTCATGTCATTGAATTCAAAAGCAACTCAATTAACTAATGCATACGTATACATGAATATATGATGTGTATGTAACTGTATGTAGTTAGTTGTCTATTCAGTTGTTGCAAATTCAAAAGCACTTTTCTAATTCGTATGCCGAAGTGAAAAACTGACCCAGTTCTCTGCCATTGAAGCTTTTGTTTGTTATGAAAAGTGCACCGAACAAACAAACGGGCACAATAGCTTCAGTTGATGTAACGTGTAGTACGTTATAATGAAAGTATTCCTTCCATCTACATTGAATGCATTTTATCTTTAAACGTTTGAGTGCATACGCCAAATACATTACAAATGGCACTGCAACTCAATGTCGTTCAAACAGAGCTCTGTGATTCGTCATAATATGCAGTGTAAATATTGCAATAGACGAAGAATTGAAACTCTTATTAAAAAAATCCTAAAGAGGATTTGGTATTTGGGCCTGATGGCCGTGTTCCAGGATTGGTTCTTCTCCTTCAGCCGTTATCTGCTGTTTCGTCAACTGTTGTGTTGATATTCTTGGAACTTGCTGAAGGCGCACAATTCCTTACTATTGGATGTTTAATCTTCACCAACTACTAATGGTGGTAAAAGGTAGTTCCTCCTGGCTATGCCAGAGATTACGGCGAAACGGTTAATTCCGCTTCATTTTACGAATCGTCGGAATAGGTGGGTGGTGTTTAAAATAATGGCTGAAACGGTTTGCCTGATAGAAAGATATTTGCCCAGGCAAATGCCATTTGATTGAAACGACAATATGTCTATAATATACATATACCTAAATGCAGTATTCTTATCAGTATCTACACCGAAAAAATTAAGGGAGAAGAAGGTACCTGAAAAAGAAGTAAAATGAGCAGTCTCGCACTTATTTTTGTATTTTGTAGTAATACTTTGCCAATCGAACGCTAACGAGTGCAGATTTTTACTAATCATTACGTACAATTGACATGTCTACATGTCAGCTGCTGCGAAGGTCACGAATAGGTATGTGTGTTTCGTCAGTTGATGCTTGCGATATAACGCGATTGCTATCAATCGCTGACGGTTCATTAGCTGGGGTACTTTTTGCGTATATTTTTGACACCCCCTACGTTCTGGTGCTATCGTCATATGCGCTCAACAGTGTCTCCAGATGTTAGTCCTTTCCGGGATATTACTCCTTTCCGGGATACTGATCAGACATACCGTATATCATGCGTGTGCATCGTCTCTGCTGGTCCGACTTCTAATTGCGCTACCATGCGAGTAACCATTTCCAATCAGTGTTAATTTGTTGACCTCAATATTGCAATAATAAAACTTATATGAACACGAATACAGTAATTAAAGAGTTCATCGTAGCGGAACTGACTATAAATATTACCGTATATAATTTATTCGTATTCCTGAAACGGTACGATAAAATGAATTTAGCTAAGCAGCTAATACAGACACGCTGATACATATGGTAGGTATTATAAAACAGATACAATCAATCATTGAATTATTTATGTTTTGACGTTTTAAATTCAGGCCATCATTATAACTTTGTTTCACTGTCAAACATTAATAATTTTGTATATACCCATATCAAAAGTGCGATATTACTTCCCTGATTGATTTCAAGGACGAAAGCAAGCATCCCTTAAGGGTAATAAGAAATCGAACTTATTCCTTATTAATATGAAGGATTTTGTCATTTTGAGGATGTTAAAATACTTTCCTATTGTAAAATTCTGTTGTTTTTTCTATTACTTGTATTTATAACGAAAGAAAAAGATCGTCCTTCGAGTTTAGTTTATAATAAGTTTGCTTTGTGTATTAACGATTACATTTTTTAATAATTCAAACATCTTTGAATATATTACGCAGAAAGTCATCACAATCGATCTCAACGCGACTTAAATATATTCCAATAAACATTGATTTACTTAATAATGTACATGAAACGGATTACGAAAACTGAAATGAATGAAAAGATTTACAACGAATTAATGGCACTTGGTCTTTAGTTAATGATATCGCTTTTCCCTTTATTATCATTATTATTATTATTACGTTACATCTGCAGTTCAGAATACAACTCCATTTATTCTTACTTTGAGGTAATTGAAGGGTTACTTCAATTGAAAAAAAAGTACTACAACTTATATTTTTAGAATTATGTGCTTGTTTGTTGTTTGTTTACCTCTTCCATCTTTACCTCTTATCTACCCCTAATACATTTCATAATAGGCGCTAGTGTCTTATTTTCATACTCCAGCCTCTGTTGAGTACCTTTGAGTGATTCTTTCTTTTTAATTCGACCTTTACTTTCATAATGCTATACGGTGTTTCTTTCTCCTTACTTCTTTTTATTGCAAATTTTAAATGATTACTGTTGTTTGTTAAGTCCATTTTCTACCATCATCATCATCATAAGGTCGTCAGTCCTAAGACTGGTTGGACACGCATCTCCTCTCTTTTCTATCCTGAGCTAATCTTCCCATTTCCCTAAAACTAGAACATCCCACATCCTGAACTATTTGTGAACAGTAATATAATCTAGGTCTGGCTCTACTCCTCTTAACTCCTGCTTCTGCCTTTAATATGCTTCTGATTAGACCTTCATGCCTGAGAAGGTGTCCTACCAACCTATCTCGCTTTTTTCTTATTGACATTCATAGAGTCCTCTGTTCTCCTATTCTCTCTAATACCTCTTCATTTCTATCCACGGTATCCTCACCAATAAAATTTAATATAGGTACAATATATGTTGTTTAATTTTTACCGCTAATGGAGGTTGTTCGCCATTGCTGTATTCCTGTCGTTCTTAGAATCAGCCGATTTGATTTTATTTACTAATCTGGATCATAACTATTTACATACGTGTTATAGCTAGATCAAAGTGTGCCAAACCACAAAAAGACGATAGAATTCATTTATTTATGAAGTATGTGGGTTGAAATATATATTTTAAATGAATCATAGTTTAAGTGCTTCGGTAATATGAAATATAACTACAAGCAATAAACACCTACGATCGAAACAGAAACTGTAAACAGTATCATCTTCTCTTTATTAGATGGTTAAACTATCGAGTTCATTTTATTATACATATTTACGTAATAATGACGATTCCTCGCGTTATATTTTATGAATTAATANTACTGCGCAGAATTAATTGGAATTTTTCACACACAAGCCTTGCTATATGAGCTCTCAAAGCATATAAAAATTATACGGCTTAAATGTGAAGTTGGGTGCAAAAGAATACAATTAGATCCTCTGTCGGGAAAAAAACGAAATGACTTTCCGAACAACCCTATATAAGCCGTCCTTGTATACAGAATTACAGCTCACATAACGTTGATTAATGACCTGCAAAAATCAATGAAAAGAGTGACCCTACTGTATAGAATACCTTTGCACTGTGACCCGTCAAACTGTATCTCAGACTATTAAAGAACGCAACTTCTTGATCAGTAATTTGCAGAAACTACTGGGGTGCTGGACCTGGGTCGTCGCATTATGATTTGATTAATTTTTTTTATTTGTTACTGTATTTCAAGGTCTCTTATTCGTACATACGGGGCATGCAGAAATTTATAGAGTATTTCTTTCACAAATAGTTTTCGTGCAAGACTATGACCAATACGTTACGTTTAATTGCAAAATGTTTTAAAAAAGAACAAAAGGGACGTTTGCACCAGAAAGTTTAGTTTTAGTTTCTCATATAAACGATAAAAAATCGATTTTCTTCCCACTCCAATGGATTATCGGATCAGTGAGCTTTCAGAAACGAATTAATTGTGTTCAGTTGGTGGGCGCTAACAATGTAACGTATTAACACATGCTGTCATTGTTTTATGGTTTACACACACGACTAACTTAGTTTTACCGTTAAATATCATTTGACATCGCGTATACGTAACGATTTTCTCGTTACAACATTTCGGAATCGATTTCATCGCCAATACATAGAGCAAAACAAAGTTGAAAATGTATTATTTTCCTTTTTATTATACTGGATTCTACCACAGATAATTTTATGCTATCACAAATGTAAAATTGACGCAACTCATGGGGTTGAAATAAAAAAAAAAAAACTATTACAAATTTAAATTCTATTTAATACAGCAGTTAAAAATGAAATAAAAAAATACTATATAAGTTTGCAGAAATATATTTTCGGTTTTACTATCTGGATTAGTATTGATACAATA